GATCCATATTTTGAGTCGGTTGAATAAAACGACCCGATGTTTGAGTCTGAGTCAGAAAAACGACCCAAACTTTGAGTTGGAGTCGAAAAATACGATCTAAACTTCAAGTTTGAGTCAAAAAATACGATCTAAACTTCAAGTATGAGTCAAAAAATACGACCCAAACTTCAAGTTTGAATCGAAAAATACGACCCAAACTTCAAGTTTGAGTAGAAAAATATGACCCAAACTTCAAGTTTGAGTCGAAAAATACGACCCAAATTTCAAGTTTGAGTCGAAAAATACAACCCAAATTTTGAGTCGGAGTCGTAAAAAACGACCCATATTTTGGGTCGAGGTCGTTTTTTTCGGCTTGGACTTGGGTCGGAGTCGAAAAAAACGACCCATATTTTGGGTCGAAGTCGTTTTTTTCGGCTTGAACTCGGGTCGAAGTCGTAAAAAACAACCAAAACTTTGAGTTAGAGTCGAAAAAAACGACCCAAAATTTGGGTGAGCTGCGTTCGAGCCGACTCGGCTAAGCCGATTAACAACACTATTTATGATTAGTAGAGAAAGTTGTTATTTCATATTTGTATATAGGGTGGTTTAAAACGTGCAAGTCAATAATTAATATGAATTGTTTGTGGAAATATGATTATGAATGAATGTAAATGCACCAGTCTATTATAAATAGCAAAAGAATACAATTCATATTTTAATTTTATTAATGTTAGTATTCAAATTAAAATAATTTAATATATAAATATAATTAATATGCTTTCTAAAAATTACACACGCCGCGCCGCCGCCATAATAAAAATCGGCGAGCCGGCTCGCGCCGATGATCTCAATCGCGGCTTTTCCGGCGTGAATAAAAATATAGGCGGCGCTCAGATCTACTTATACTTAGTTCTAGGTTAGAATAGTTAATTTTATTTTAACTTAAGATAAACAAATAAAATGAATATGAAAGGAACTTCATTTTTAAAAATTCATCTTATTTTATATAAATCATACATAAACAGGGTTGCCATGCCTCCCCCCATCAGTGGGAGTCTCCCACAATTTTTTAGTTTACCCACATACATCTCACTTCCACAATTCGAAATCTCCCACAATTTTTTAATTTCTCCCACAAATTTTTTTTTAGCATTTTAATGTTTTTAATATATAAATAATAATTTTGAGAAACAGTATTTGATTATTTTTATATTTTTAAAATAAATTTTAAATATTTATTCGAAAAATATGTCTTGTTCTTTTATTTTATTTTTCCGCTAATTTTAAATTCTCCATCCAATCCAATCCATTCGACATTTTCAAAATTTGAAGTTAGAATAGTATGTATAATTATTATAAATATATTTTAAATTTCTAGATTCTATAATTGCAGTGCTCCACTCAACATTTTCATATAAGAATAGAACTTTTAGAAGTGGATTACTTTGGTATTTCTGCAGCATAATTTAGTGAGCCTTTATTAAATTATATTCTTCTGATTGCAACTGCATATTAACAGCATATAGTAGATTTCCTATATGTAAAATTCCTAAATATACTTCTGCCATTTATTTTTGAAATTTTTTTTCAAATAGGACAGCTTTTATAATCTATTTATTTTTTAAAGGTTTGTAAAATTTTAAAATTCTACGGTGGCGCGTATTAGGAGGAACCTGTCAACCAACATTATGCTGACTCAATTCTGTAAATACACTATGGTTTTTGCCAAATTTACTGAGGAATTATCAGATCAGAAAGTTGACATCAATTCATTGGTAATGCCAAATCTGCCATATTTACCATTATATATGGTTAGCTATGTCTTTGGATATTTCATATCTGGAGAAAATTTTTTTAATAGTTTTATTGAAATGACATTAATTTTGTTGAAATAGGGGAGGATCAAGGGAAATGTTTTGATATCTCCTTATTAGATGCATCTGTTAGAATTGCATATGTTTGCACATCTTTCAAATCGTCAAGAATTGACCTTCTGGATTTATATCCTAAAACATTGTTGATAGTCTTGCTCATTTTGTGTTCTACAAAGTATACTTTTCATTTATATTAGTCGTTAAATATTATGGGGAAAGATTCTACCAACATTGAGATGTTGAGCAACTCTCTGAATGTTGTACTGCATGATAGGTATTTACCATTTCCGCAACTGTAGTTGCATCTATATTAATTCTAATTTTTGAAGAATATTTTTGTTTTGCAATAGATGTTGATAGAATGCCCTGTACTGATTTATGCTTTGAAGATTTTTGATACCTCAAAATATCATATTCCCTTCCCCCATTGTATTAACTAAATACTGTAGAACAACTTCCCCGCACTGATTATAAATATTTTTTACATTGTAAATTTAAAATTGTTTGTTTTTTTATAAAATCTTATTTATACATTTATTTTTTTACATTGTAAAATTACAATTTTTTTATAAAATTTTATCTTGTTTACATTCTTTTGTAATTAAAAAAGATCGTTGGTTATTATTTTTAAACAAAATTAATATATTATAATAAATCAATGTTATTTTAATAATAAAGATAGTACTCTAAGAAATTTTGTGTCGTACAGTAATTACCTATTTTGAAAAATAGTTGCGTATTTTATTTTGGAAAATAGTTACCTATTTTATTTTGAAAAAGAGTTGGATATTTTATTTTGAAAAATAGTTGGCTATTTTATTTTGAAAAATAGTTGGCTATTTTATTTTGAAAAATAGTTGGCTATTTTATTTTAAAGAGTTACCTATTTTATTTTGAAAAAGAGTTGGAAATTTTATTTTGAAAAATAGTTGGCTATTTTATTTTGAAAAATAGTTGGCTCTTTTATTTTGAAAAATAGTTGGCTATTTTATTTTGAAAAATAGTTGGCTATTTTATTTTGAAAAATAGTTGGCTATTTTATTTTGAAAAATAGTTGGCTATTTTATTTTGAAAAATAGTTGGCTATTTTATTTTGAAAAATAGTTGGCTATTTTATTTTGAAAAATAGTTGGCTATTTTATTTTGGAAAAAGTTAGCTATTTTATTTTAAATAGTTGGCTATTTTATTTTGAAAAATAATTACCTATTTTATTTTAGATTTTATATTTATAAAAAATAATAAGCCTATAACTAAGTCAATTCTAAACGCAAAAAAATTTTTTTTAGCAATTTCTCCCACAATTTTTATATATTTCCCACAAAATACCTAATTTCTCCCACAATTTGAAAATTTTGACCTGGCAACCCTGTACATAAACATATATATTTAATATTAATATAATTATTTTTATGGGGTTTAGTTTTGCTTGTGTTGTTTAAATTTCAATATATAAACTATAAATATTGTATAAAATAATTTTAATATTTTCTTGCGGCTATTTATTTCAACACATTAAATGGTTTTATTTTAAAATGAATGAATTATTTTATAGTGCTTATAATTCCAGATAATTAAATTAATAATTATTTAAATTAAAAAAATTGTATTAAAACATATTTAGATTTTATGCCAATTTTTTTTAAAAAAAAATCTTTTTTCTTTGCCTCCAAATTTGGAAAATCTCGAGGCCCCGTGGGATTCCCACTAGACTTACTGGCCAGTCAGCTCTTGATGAGTTCCAATAAATTTATAAATAATTTGCCATAAGGAATATTCCTAAATTGCAGAACGTCCCTGAAATCATATAAAGTTTTATTTAAGATACAGTTTTATGCTTTGTTCGAAATTCATGAAAAACTCTTCTTGAAAGCTGAGGCAACCCGAATAAGGGACCATCTATAGTATTAAAATAATTGATAATTTTTTTTATTAATTTCTATCCATTTTACCTAAGACATTGTAACATAATATATATAATGATAATGTTTATTTAAATTTTATTAAAATTGAAGAGGTCCATTTTCTGTATAAGAGGTTTTAAATATTAATGGGGGAAAAATGCAATTTAATTTAATACTAAATTTATTATATATATATGTGTAGATTTTTTTAGATCAATAATTTATGAAGATGGATAATAATTTCTAAAATAATCATTTCACCCCTGATATCTCAAAAATTATCTAGGTAAGGAGGGTGAAATTTTGCCCAAATATAGATTACAATAAATTATTTGCATCCAAAATTCCATAAAAATAGACAGGAGTCAGCTGAATTAGATCGATTTGGCATATAATAACTTCAATTTTTCAAAATCATTTTTGTTTTGTTTTGTTAAATTTTTAATATTATGACAATGTAAAAAGATCGCGATTCTTTTTTTAAGATAATTTTGATCCTGATTTCCCTAAAGATCAGAATCTAGCAAATTATCTCAAATATAAAATTGATTGGAATTAAAATGTGTTAACTTAGTTTTTATCAAAGGGAGAGGAGATTGCAGTTTTCAGTAATCAGATTCACAAAATTCATAATAATCATATTTTTAAATTCCGTAAATTTTCACAAAAGAATCGATTTTTTAAAAAATGTTAAATTTGAATATCGTATCTAGATATAGATATACATTTTTACAAATGTTTCTAGATTACATATACAATTTTTAATTTAGGATTCTATTGTTAAATTCAAAGTGAGTTAAAAAAAATTCATTGAGCAAATATCACATCTGTAAACAAATATATAATAAAAATAATTTTTGTTAGAATTTAATAATTATAATACAAAATATAGAATTAAATGTTATAAATAATTGTTATATTTTAATAATAAAACATTCTCAAAATTTTTGTTATTAAGGCACCCCCGTTTATCTGTATTATCATTAAATATATTAAAATCCTAAAACTCATCAAAAAAAATGATATAAAATTTATGATTGTCAAAATATTTATTATCTAAGTAGTGCCCCCAAAAATAATATTAAATTACTTGATTTCTTTTTGGAGATTGTCATAAATATTGATCTAAAAATTGATGTAATTAAAATAAATTATAATATGAAAATTACAATGTTGTTATCCATTGCGTTAAAATAAAATTTGTCTGATTTAATAAAAGTGTATCCAGATACAGATAACACATTTTGGTATAACAACTCTGATATATTGTAAAATAAAACAAAATTGACAAGGATAATTATATTTAGTTTATTTATTACAAAAAAAATAACTAAAAAATATTATAAATTGTAATTTTTTTTAAATATAAATAATAAAATCAAAAAAAATCATCGTCATCTGTTTCCGCTAATTGTTTAGCTATTTCTATATCCATTTGTTCTTTTTCTCGACGACCCTAATAAAAAGTATCAGTTTTGAAAATGAATGTATGATAAAAACTATTTGTATATACTTAGAGCTTTACAGAAACTATATTCCAAGTCCAGTCAAATTAGGGGAATTTTTTTATTCGACCTATCCAATCCGAATATTATTATTTTTTCAAGAATCAGATTTTATCTTAGAAATAGGGCCTATCCGAAAAAATATCAAAGATGTTTTTAACTATTGAAAAATTATGAAAAAAGGAAAGCGAAAAAAATTATAGTTCGAGAAAGCAAAATAAGTTTTTTCTTGTTATTCTTGAAAAGAATATTATACAAATTTAGGGTAGCAAAATAAAAATAATTTAAAATTTCGACAAGGTTCAAATACCCCAGATTAAAATGAGAGAATGTCTGGTCGTGTCCAGTTAACCCGAGTTCAGTCAGATTTGACATTTTCGTGTAAAAAGCTCTACTAATATATCTACAAAAATATTAACAAAATCCAAATGTGCTAAGTTGTATTCAAACGTGTGGCAACTTTTCGATAGGATAGAAATTCTAACGTGATAACTCGAATGTCAAACACAAAATAAAATAATGAAGATAAGCTGCCACACTTTTAAAAGGAATAATTAAATTTCTAGCGAACAAAATAATTTGAAATTAGAATATTCATTATTTATAATCGAAAGTAAAATATAATTCAAAATTAGAGCAAGAAAAACATGTAATGTGAAGTATACTTCATTAGTTTCATTATCATCGTAATTTTTTGGTGGATATCGCAATGACTACAATAAAATAACATTTTTTTAAAAAAAATTTAACAAAAAATGTATATAGTATAGTTACTATAATTATTGCCACAAATTAGATATTTTATATAAAAAGTTAATCGAATAATAATATTTCCACCATTTGTTCTTTAGATATCCCGCGATGCAACGATAACACTTTTTTAACCGATATCGATGCCAACATGGTATTGGCCTACTTAGGGCGACGCACCGAAAGGTCGTCATTTTACACTTCCTAGAATTCATCACCGAATATTTATATCACGCTAGGACGCCACCGATTTTCATATCGGAGCACGGCCAACGGAAAAATTTTTTAATATATTTTTTAAAACTATTACCAAAATATTATATTAATAACAATAAAATTTAAATAAATAGAAGGTAATAATTTTAAATATTTCGATTCTAATCTAATCAGAGTTGGAAACCGGAATTGGAACCGAACCCCTTTTAACATTTTTAGAAACCAGCCCATTTTAAAATTTTCAAGAAAAGGTTTTAATAAAAGTGCAAGCAATTTATATATATTTGTTAAAATGTCGTGCGTGACCCATTTTTTTTAGGAAGCAGAAATGAAACCATTTTTCGTCAAAGTTGCAAATTCTGATCTTAACAAACACATCATTATCATTACATTAACAAAGTTAGCAAGAAAACATTCAGTGACAAACATAAATTATGATTCTATAAATGAATTAGAACTAAGGCTGTGCCAATATTAAATATAGGATCGGCACCGATATTTAGTGTTTTCAAAAAATATCGGATAAGGCCGATATTTTTTAATATTGTTTTTGGTTATTAGATTATAATTAAATTATATAATTTTTTTTATTTTATAATAATAAAATAAATGAAAGAAGCAAAATAATTTATTTGTTAAAATGTTTAAAAATTTATTATACTATTTTTTGTTATATACTCTGCAATAAGAAAGGTATTTAAAATATCTAATGATTCACATTCAGCTAAAATTGTTAAACGGCTCGATTTCGAAAATTTTTAAAAACGGTTAACTCAAGATTTTTGCATAAAATAAATACTCACCACATATGGCAGAAAGATTTGTGCTTCTATTGGCGAAATTTCGAGGATTAAAAAATATTTATTTTGTCAAAAATAGGCAAAATGGAGCTGTTTATAGATGGTAAATAAAAATCAATATAAATATAGGATTTGTTATTTTAATAATTTCGGATCTGATTGGCGAAAAATTTGTGCATCGGCACACTCCTAATTAGAACCCTATTCCTATTGGATAACGTCATCCACTAAAATGTTATAAATTTTTGAAAAGGCAAGTGGATCAAAATTCTGCATGCCAAAAAATTATTTGTGCTCTAGCAACTAGAACACTTAGTGATTTCGTTTTAAATTAGTTTATTTAAAAAATATTTACATATTATGATGATTTTATGAATGTTGACTATTAATAAATTAATCCCCACCCAGATAAAAGTATTTTGCTTGCAAAAATTATTTTATATTTGCAATTTATTAAAAAAAATTGGTATTGTGACAGAGTTTTTTTTTTATAAAATAAGTTTTTATCTATAAACTGGAAGGAAGACTTTTCAAATGAGTTAAATATTGCAACATTTCTCTTGGGTAAAATTTAAGGTATATTCTGGAGAATGTACCATTAATTATTCAAATTATGATAATTTTTTAACTTATTTTTTCAATGTTTATTTTCTATTAAATTTTCTTTTTTTATATCATAATCGATATGACCTGAAAAATCTTTATTTAATGTATATTTATTTTTACATTTTTATTGTACGATTATAATAATCTAACGAAAAGATATATTTATATTATATAATAATCTAGAAGCCAAAAGTCAAAAAATAACTCAGTGAACCTGCATGAACTGGAGGGAAAAAACAATGGAGCAAGACCTCAATTTACCGATTGCCTTGGAATACCGATTCAAAAGGATTATCTTCCCTGAATAATACGATGACCTCTTGGCCGATTAATCAATCAAAGTGGGAGGAACAAAAAGGATGACTCCGAATTGAAATAAAAAATTATACATCTACTAGAACATAATAATGGATTGACGATAAAAAATATATTGGAAAATTTACCACCTTATCTCAAAATGAGTGATTCGGGAATATCTAGATGCGTTAAATTACTGGGATAAAGCAGGAAAGGGTTGGGAAATGAACCCAATAAACCCCAGATATTATCAATATTCGTAAAGAATATTTACTAAAAATGATGAAAGTGCCATTTCAAAATATATTCCATTTAGATAAAACAGGCTTCAATTCCCACTATGGATGGGCACCTCTGGGTAAGAGGCCACCCGTCAAAATCCCTCCTTCAAAGGGGAAAAACAGATCGGTTTTGTGTACCATAGGAATTAATGGTCTCAAAAAAACAAGATTATAAACGGGGGAATTTACAGCAATAAAATTTAGAACTTACCTGGATGAATTATCATCAATTTTGCCTTTTAATCTATTTATGGATAATGCGCCTATTAATCGTGCCCATATAAAACTCATTATCAAAATATAACATATCTTCCACCTTATTCCCCGTACACTAAACCCCATTGAAAATATTTTTGGCGTTTTAAATAATCAATATCGATCTATAAAAACCAAAGCCAAACCAACAAATAACAGAATCCATATAATAGAGACAATTACCAGCCTTTTGCTTAATTTAATCAATTATGATTTAAGAGCCTTCTACCATATACGTAACGATATATCGTAGATAGAATCCGATCTATTACTTTGAACGACTAATTTAACAGATAATTACACTAGATTATTATACAACTTAGATATATATTTTAGTTATATTATTAAAAAATAAATATATTTAGTACTTTCATATTATGTGCAATACAAATAGAAAAATAAATATACATCATTAAATGAAGATTTCTCAAAACTATAATATAAAAAACGAAAATTTAATAGTATGGAAGAAAAATTTATGCCTTTTATCTCTTTCACAGTCCTCGGCAAAGAGACTTTCTAAATCCCTTTCTGGCTTATAAAAAATTGGTGAGAATTTACCCCTCCCTTGGAGACTTCTCAAATACTTGAGACAAAACTCAGGCCATGAATGGCTCGAAGCTGTCCCAAGTGCCAATCTAGGTCTTTTGCTACCCGGCGAGGAGCTAAGGGTGGAAATAAGATATAGACTTGGCTGTGACATATGTCAACCTCATATATGCTATGGGAGTAGGAGAGACTCTGATTTTATGCACAGACATTGTCTAAGCTGTTTATGTTCTAAAGGCCGGTTTGGTGGACATAGGGCTATTAACTATAATCTCGGATAAATTAGGGTTGGCTCTAACTATCCTAAATTTCTGTACAGGTCCACTTACCATTGTCGGATGGATCAGATGGGCTCACAAGCATTCCTTGGTTTCGAGGAAAACACATAATTTTGGACTTCACTTGTGTCTCCCAATTTTCTTCTAATCCAAACATTGATCCGATTATTACAGCTGAAAGATCAAAAATTAGAAAGTATCATGACTTTCTGATTTTCAATCCTAGTTATTTCTACCAATGGGCCCCTAGGCTATCTTATTAAGATTTTAGGTAAAAAAATTTAATTTCTCAAACTAATGTTGATCATGGATTAGCTTTTAAAATGTTATAATCTCAAATCGCTGTATTTCGAGGCATCTTAGTTTCCTCAAAAAGTGTCCATTTTTTGCCCCTCCTCCCTCCCATGTATTTTAATATATTTATATATCATGCTGTTTTTTAATATAAATGAAGAGAATTAAATATTAAAAAAAAAATTAATAGAAAATAAACAATGAAATAATAGTAAAAATTATCATAATTAATGATACAAGCTCCAGAATATCAAAAAGAAATTGTGTATTTCTTAAACTCATTCAAAAAGTCTTCCAGTTTATAGATAAAAACTTACTTTATAAAAATATCTGTCAAAAACACATTTTTTTAATAAATTGCAACTGTGTTTTTCTTTTAATATTTTTTGCAAGTCAAATACTTTTATCTGGATAGGGATTAATTTAATCATCAATTCATTGCTAATAAATATGATTAGTGTTTCCCAAATTTTAGTAAACGAAGAATGAGAACTAACTATGGAAGAAGAATTAAACAATGAAAGGTATGAGCCACAGAGAACACGTGATCTTAGCAAATTTAAACAAGAGTTTACTTTGTTTAAGAATACTGGAAAGCGTATGAAAATCTTCAGACTAAAATCCATTACAGCAGGATTCTGAAAAAAAACCTTCTCGGTGCATGCTGCACCAAAAAAGGATCTAATTATTCAAGAATCATTATTCATTGATTTTTTTAAAAAATATTATTATTTAAGCGGAAAAAAAATAAAAAATTAAATTATTGAATCAAAATATAAAAATGTTAATGAAAAAAATATGTTAACAAAATTAAATAAATAATTTGAAAATATAAATTTATTTTGACTGAGTCATTAATTTTAGATTTAGGATTCTTGGAATCTCAAAAATTCAGAAACCCTAGTTATTTAAAATAAAATATAGTATTAGCATGTATATCTTAGTTGTATATATTATATGAAAAAATGTCATTGCGCTAATTATCGACGTCTTTGACGACAGCTAAAAAGCGATGGCCGTCGATTTGATTTATTCTTACATCTGGTTGGCTGCCGCTTATTTCATCAGCGCCAATCTCTACCGATACCAAACAAAAAAGAATAATGTAGAATATTTACTGGGGAAAAAAGCAAATTATAACAATATTGTAATTATTGCAAAAAAGTATCAACTGTTAACAAAAGTATCGCCTGAAATATACAAATATTTTTCTGCTCACTTAGCTTTTCAACTACATCGTAATCATTTTAATAAATAAATATAATATATATATATGTTAGCATGTCAATGCATTTTTTTCCGAATTTTGATTCAAGAGTTTAATATTGTATGATAATTCCGCCATTTTAAAATAGCGGATCTGCAAATCACAATATTTAAAAATATTTGTTTATACCTAACTAAAAAGAATATATCTCAAAATAGCATCCCAACTTTAATAATATAATAACATTTATTTCTATAAAATTTATCAAAATTATGATGGCGGTAAACCTTGACACATCGCTCGTGAATATCCAAGCAAAAATTGATCCTCTCGTGAAAAATCTTGCAAGGCTCTTCCTCTGCACCCTCTCCCAGGGTACCGTAGGTGTCATTAAAATAATCCTTTCTATCCATAGCTTCTTTTCCAGCTTGATCACCCAAAGCAGCGTATTTTCCGTTAACCAGGTATACTCCACCGGTTTTTTCTTTACCGTTATCGTTGTGCTGTACGGAGGCCTCTATGACCTTGTCTCTTATAGCCTTAGCGAGAATATATTCACAATCCCCTACACTATTTTTGGCCGTTTTCAAATTCAATTTTGCCGCTATATCTGGAAGAGAGACGCGAGAATATGCGCAATTTATTTTCTTAATGCCAGTCTTGAGCACGTTTCGTCTCAATCTAATGATGAGGGTATAGGTTGAATCGGCCAGAAATTTGGATTCGTACTTTTGTAGAACGTTGGAAAAAAACTCTATGTCGCCTAACCTGACAGCTTTAAGGTGTTATGAATGAATTAATGACGTGAAGTGTATAAAAAATATGTGTGCTAAGGTAATAAATTTTTAAAAAATTTAGGATTTAAATTAATTATTAAGATTAGGTGGTAGGCAATATAAGAATTAAAATAATATTTTAAAAATTCAATATCCTTTGACCTTGCGTTAACTGGAAGTAGGGTAAAAGTGATTTCTTCAATGAAGGATCTTTAAAAAGATTTCTCTCGGGTATTTCGCCCAGAAGCAATTGAACCACGATTGCTAATTTATTTATCTTGTAAAAATAAAAAGAAACCTTAAAAATAAATATTCAAAGACAGAAAAAAATTGTATAAACCCTGCAACATTTTTTTTATATCGATCCTAAAAGTCGATATTTACACAATTTTTTAAGCTTTTGATAACGTTCTAAATTTCTGGGTCTTAGAAAAATGTTAGAAACGGGTTATAATTGTATTTAGTTATAAAAAAATATCGTACAGCTTGCTTAAATCCTATAGCTAATAATTGTGGTCCTTTTCTAGAGGCTTGTAACAAATTTTTTTGAGCTACGGAATATTCCAAATGAATTGCTTTTATATGTCCTAAAATAAAATTTATATAAAGCATAATGTGATATTTACATAGAATATAAATTCTAATTTATTTTTAACAACTCGATTGGAGTGATGGGTATTGAGATATAGGATAGATTGATAGTGGAATTCGTCCCACACGATTTAACATCTTTTAATGAGATCAATTTTTCTTAATCAAAATCAAGAATTCTTAGAATCATAAATAAAAAATCGATCAGCTGTTAAATCTTGTCGGATCGTGGGGTTAGGGCTTGTATTGACAAATCTCATTTTAATATTTTCCTGGTCCCGTATCCCAGCTAAAATTTTATCGAGTCCAGAACCCTGAAAAAAAACGAATCAAATAATATATGTTTTATTGATATAATACGATGCCAATATTTCGAATAATTCGTATAAATAATTATTTAGTCTATAAACCTTTTTTCAAACAATCCTGAGTAACCGCAACCACGAGTAAAAGTAACTCTTATTGCCCTCAATTTATTATATGAAAAAATAATATCTATTTTTTTGTTTAAAATTTCATTTTAATGCATCCATAGTTTCGTATCAATGGAGTCGCTAGTTTTTTTAAACTATAAGCCTTTCTTTAAAAATAAAGCTATATCTTCGCAAAGCAATATTAAAAAATTTGCCGAAACAGTGTCAGGTCAATTTTTCGCTCTAATAATATCTCAATTTTTTAAAATTTATTGTTGGAGTAAGCAAAGATTATACTAAAAATGAAGGATGAGGAACAAGTAAAAAAAATATGACAGGGAAGGCGAATTTTATCTACTTTGAAGAAGTAAATGATGATTAGCTACTAATTTTTATGGATATTGCAGGATAAAAAGAATACTTTCTTTTACATTCTCAACTTTATTAAAAACATAGGCAAATAATGTTTCTTCACATAATTGCATTTTCATTGCAGATAAAATCAGGGATCCAAAACCGAACTTTTAAACCGGTTTTACCTTTATTATTTACAGAGCCTAAACCAAAACTGAAAGGTAAAAATTTTGTCCGAACCTTTAAAAATGTATATGAACCGGTTTGAACCTTTTGGTATCCAAACTCTTTTAAAGTACATAAATAATCGATTTGATTGATAGTGTCGATTTTGAATAATTTTATTTATACACATTATATGTCAATAAAGTTTTGATTGGACATAATGATATTATTATGAATATATATATTTTATCAGAAGAATTTATTATTTCGTTTTTACTAAATTTAAAGAGTTGTTTTTATATTCAAATTGTGGGTAATCATTTTTAAAGACTAATGAAAGTAATAAAACGACTTATCGAGGAATATAGGACTACAATTGATAGTATCAGTAAGTATTTTTAGCTATTTTGTATGCTATTTGACAGGCCAACGATCCAAGTTATTGTATAGAAATGTTCTCAACATTTATTCCTTCTCTTTATAAATATAATTTGATATAAGGGAATATTGAAAATATTTTAATTGTAATATCACTCAATATTATTTTTTGGGAATAGGGACAAAATTTTAAGATGTTTAATTAACATAACTCTTATAAGGTTATATGTGAAAACATTTAAACCAGGTTTTAAATGTTCACAACCGAACCAATATCATTAATTCTTACGTGTGAACCTAAGCCTCAACCGATATTCGTTATGGTTCGGATCATTGGAAAAACAAATATAGTTAGAAGAAATACAAGTAAAAATGAGACATCACTATCAGCAATAACTTTAAGTTTAGTTTAATAATTTTAAAATATAATAATTTGCATTAATAAAGAGATACTAATAAATTCTAACTTACCATCAATAAAATATAAGAATAATTTTGTTAAACATGATGTTATATATTTTGAAATGATAAAAATATTGAATTTGTCCTATATGGGTACATAAAAGATGTAGTGGGAAAAAAGGCAATTTGATGTTAGAAAGAATGACCTTTATTTGTAAAACATGCATGAAAGGGATACATAATAATGATAACCTAAAAAATGGTGGTCTGGATATTGGCAATGGGTTAACCCTAGAAAAAGTGGATAAGTTTTGTTATTTAGGTGATATGCTAAACGCAGATGGTGGTGTAGATTCTGCTGTTGTTGCAAGGGTCAGACAAGCTTGGAAGAAGTTCAGAGAGATGTCATCTATTCTTACAAATAAAAAAGTTTCTCTGAAGTTAAAGGGGAAAGTTTACGTAAGCTGCGTGAGGAGTTGTTTAGTTTATGGCGGTGAAACATGGGCAATGAAAGCAATTCACGAAGCCAAATTAGAAAGAACAGAGATGAGGATGGTTAGATGGATGTGTGGGGTATCTCTGAGAGAGAGAAAAACTAGCAAGGAATTGCGAGCAAGATTAGGTATAGAAATGATTGGTATGGTAATGCGACGAAATAGACTAAGATGGTTTGGGCATGTGGAACGTATGACAAGATATGACTGGGTAAAGAGATGCACAATGATGGAAGTAGGAGGATCAAGACCTAGAGGAAGACCCAAGATGACGTGGACAAATGTGATAGCGGCGGATATGAGAAGCTTGAATCTTACAAGTATTGATGCTCAGGACCGTCAAAAATGGAAAAGAAAAATCAGAGGGAAAACTGGCTTACCCGGGTAAACCTGGAAATCGCCATAAAACGGAGAAGAAGAAGAAGAATTTAATTTGTCTATTTTTAATAATTTGTTAAATTTAATTACCTATGTAATAATAATATCTTGCCCATTCATTATTATTTGCAGTTTCCGGAAAATTCGTTTTTGCTGCAAAAATGTCAGCTTGATTGTAAAGTTTATATAATAAGTAGTTCCTAAGAATCAGATTAATTAAAACTGCCAGACCATCATTGTCTTTCCTCAGGGTGCATGTTCTAAATCGTGCTAATAGAAATCTATATAAAAATAATTAAAATTTATTCTGCATTTATTTACTAATATTCATGTATTTATTTGTTCTAAAAATTTTATAATCAAATTTATCCATTTTAAAGCTAGACTATATTCATAATGGTAATATTGGATTAGTGTCGATATACATTAAGCCTATCAGATGCCGATTATAATAATAAGAGTTTTATAACATTAGGATATATTGAGGAAACTTAATTTTTTTATTAAGTATTATAAATAAAATTTCAAGTAAAATAGATAAAATTAGTAAGATGGATATTTATATAAAATTAAATTTGATCGTGAACCCAATAAATATATCAGAGACCTGCAAGCCCGGGTACACGGGCCGGGACGTATTTTAATTTTTTAAATATACCCAGGTTGGGTTTAAAATTTTTTTTAGTATATTTTAAATGGCCATTATTAGCTATAACAATTAATAATAAATACAATATTTTTTATAAAATCCTGGCTGGACCTGAAAATTAAAAAAAAAAAATTCTGGCCGGGGCAGGCATTAAAAAAACCTATGCTAAGACGTGCAAATGGTACCTCTGCAAGTCTCTTAAATATATTTATTAATAAAGAAAGATATCTATAAACTTGATAAAACAGCATCAAATATTGATAATCTACTGTGAATCTTTATAGAATAATTTATACAAGATGTCAAAACCGAAGCACTTTAAGGCACCTTCAGCAAATAATTTTCCCGTGTATCAGTTTCTAGCGCTGTAGAGATATTGATAGTAGTGATCTGCATCGGGCCTATTTTTCAAGCAAGCCCGACTTGGCCCGAAAAATTTGTGCAGCCCGACCCAAATTTTTTTTGGCTAGGCCCGATCTCAAATGAGTGATTTGCAGATCTCTAATTAATAGTCCTCATCAAGAAATTTATTTTCAGAGAAGCTCTAAGGCTGCATCCAAATTATTATATTTATTTTAAGAATTTACCACCTGTTCTAAATGGTAATTTTGGATTTAAAAAAATAGGAATAAGTACATTTTAAAGTGTATTTTAAAGATTTCCAAACTGGATATCAAAAATCTATCATCTAAAAAAATCCCCAAAATGGTGGGCAGGCTTCAGTCTGCTATTCAAAATAGAATTCAGAACAAAAATTACATCAGGCTAAGGACGTGAAATTTTTCTATATGCTGTTTATACTTAATATTAATACAATATAATAAAAATAAAAACGCTCAATCTATAAAAACGGAATTGGGACTACAAGTATCCCAAAAAAACAGGAATAATTTAATTTAAAATAATAATTTGAATATTAAGTTTTAAGAAATAAAATTCCTTAGTAAGGGCACTTATTTTACAGCCTATATTATTAAAAAACTTTGAAATTCCGTTTGACATATGTCCAAGGGAAGAGATAACGATTGGTACAAAAAGCATGGTGTAAATTTAGATTTTTTTTTCTCGGCTATATAGACCGGATTCGAATTTACATTTTTTAGAAATGAAGACGCATATGAACTCCTAAATTAAGGATTTACATAAAGATCAAAATGCAGAAGTTAAACCATGTAGCTTTAGGGCATCATCTGATAATAAATCAGCAGGCTCCAGCATTGGTATTCGGATCCTCGCAGGAGAACTGCTAATAACTGAATTAATCGCTGCCTGCCTTGCATGTTTCTTTATCTATGTATATATATAATTAAAACTGTGTCTCCTTTTAGGTATCAACCGATATTTTACATTTTATCGATTGAAAGTGGTTGAACCATGTTACATCCAATTCGGAGGCCTGTTATCAAGCAGAACTTTAATATTTTTAAAAAATATAGGAGAAAAAATAAGATCCCTTATATGCGAATCTAAGGAATTTTATTTTTTAAAACAAAATATTCAAATTACTATTTTAAGATATAATTATTCGTGTTTTGGGGGAATTTATAGTCACAATTACGTTTATATATAGAATGAGCGTATTTATTTTTATTATATTATAGTTTATGATTGGATTGGAATATAGTAATATTATAATAAAAAATATATAATATAGAATTTTAAAAAAATGTTAACTTTGATTGGCATTGAATGTGATTAAATAAATATCGAGTTCAGTTACATATATATATATATATATAAGAGTTGAGATTAGCAAGTGCATTATATTTACATTTTTTCATTAAAAATTTAAGATTTATATAATCTCTGTATGATATATAAAAATGATTTTATTAATTCTTGACCTAACCCATGTAAAATAAGGATAAATCAGGGTATAAACGATAAACCAATGTAAAAAGTAGCCTAAATAAAGAACAAATAAAATAGATAAGATAAAACATAGGATAATAGGCTACAAAAAACTGAGTAGATAAAAAAAGTTTGAATAGCAAATTTCTAAACCCCTGTTCCGAAGAAAGTAAAAGTACTCTTTAGGATGGCTAATAAGTTAGGTAATTTTTTTATTTCTTTAGAAAAGTAAGTGCCTATTTGGCCGAAGTTTTCAAGAGTTGATGTAACAACAGGAACGAATTTAATGTCATTTAACTGTTAATATTTCTTTTGTTTTGCTGAGTTTAGCTACCAAAAGAGTTTTGAAGATAGCTCGATTCGGCGAATATGTCTATACAAGGTAATCTTAAGCAAGAGGGATACACCTTTTCTGAGGAATTAAGTTAAAACATCTAGCCTCTTACTAGTATTGAGACCTAAATATAATTTTTTAATTGGCTGTAAATTAGCTGAAATGTGTATTTGATCTGCATATCTGAATCCTCGAATGATACTTTTTGCCTTAGATATAAATTTTCTTTTGGGGTGAATGCAATTAGTTTTCCATTTATTAATGTTAAAAAGGAATTGTTTCTTCACCCCTAAATGGTTGTAACGAAAGTTATAAAAAATTATTATATATTTTCAAAAAGGCATATTTATTGCACTTCATTGTTTCGTTTCAGTGGTGGCAGCTGATGATTATTGGGTAATTAGCATTTGATGTGTCAAAAATGTATATGCAGTAATTTTTCTATCAATGATGCATTTTTACCCAAAGGCATAAGGGTGGTTGGATATTGAGGTTGTAGATAAAAAGTATGTAGCAATAGTGTCAAGGTCCAATGGATATCCAAGGTACCTTGATAGTGGTATATGTGTCTAAGTTTTTACTACAACATTTCCCTTTATTTGAATTGTAGATAGAGTTATGAACTGAAAAAGTTTGTTAATTTAAAAAAGGAGCCTTTGTAGATTAATTAATTTGTCTTTCGAAATCATTTACCCTATCATCTACTCTTTTAATAAATTAAATATAGATATATAATCAAGGAGAGATCATTTATGAGGTAAAACATAAGAAATTGTGGTATAAATACTAATATATATATCAGATTGGCAAGTTACTTACAGAAGAATATTTGTGTTTCGGATAATATCTTAGGAAAATATATAGTTAAAAGATGTTCAATTAATTATGAAATATATATATGTATATTTGCATCATAGATGCGGTTGGATAAAGAAAGAATATTTACTTTAAAATCTAATTTAAAATATTATATCATGTTATCAAAATAAAATAAATAACGTTAATATATTTTTTTTGAATCAATAATTTCTGAAATTACTTCAGTGGCGTATCTTATGGTTATTAATATAAATTTTACTCTTATTTCTTAATATAGTTTCTACACCGTTTTAATACATATAATATATTTTACTCTTATTTTATTCTGCACTGGTTTATTTTTATTTTAATTTAAAAAAAAAATGAATAATGAACGATGAAAAAAAATTTTTTTTCTATAAAAATTATTGATCGATCATCATAATAATAAATAAAAATAAGATCTATTACAAAATCGATAATGCAAAATATCATAGTATTCAGGATATCCCCAAAAAAATGAACGATGGAAAAATTAACATTAATTATTACCATACTATTCACCTCTAAGAAATTCATCCATTTCTGTGTCTGTCAATAATCCACCGTCATTTTCAGGCGGGCTTGTTTCCGCCAAGGAGGAGCTCCTTGTTCTCCTTCTAACGTCGATCGAGCCTGCTCCATTCGTCTTACAACTGTTTCCAGTCTCTCCGGTATGGGCCGCATCACTGTATTATTTATCCATGCAGGTCTGGCATATCCCATGGCTTGTCTTCGCGGTGCTCTGGGACATCCATCTTGGAGATGGTCCCGGGATTGACAGAAGTAACACGTACGCACCGGATTCCGCCCTTTTCTAGCTGGATGAGATTGTACTGATGGCTGAGGCAATTCCGACATCTGTTCATTATTCCCTTGGACATATACACTGATTCGGACAATTAATCCCGGCATATAAATGTATTTTTATAAAACCATTACTTAAGAAATTACTTAAATTCTTTCCCCACGATATTATTTTATATATATATCGCGTTTTAACACTATTACTTCTTTGTTGTTTTCTTTTTGATTTATTTTCTGATATATATTAGACCCACCATTTTTATATATTGTGATCTTATACTCTTATCCCTAAAATTTATACTAATAGGAAAATCCACCACACGAAAACAAGCACCCTTTTCGGTGGAACCGCTTGGTAATGTCTGTGGCAACCAACCACCAGTGAATGCAAATGCCCTCGAGACCATGGCCGCAGCGATTGCACAATTGACCACAGAAATGAGGGCTCTATCCACCTTTGTTCACGAAGAACCCCGGGAAGAAGATCATCTATAAGAACCAGATCTACGATGATTGAAATGAGAGACACGTCATCTTCCAGCGATAATGATGAAAGACGAAGCACGGTATCTCGTATTAGAACAGTCGTCCTTCGCCCTGCGCTTACTCCAGTGGAAAAAGTGGCCAAGCTAGCTAGGTTATGGAAAGGACTACGTTCAAACCTTAAAGAACCTAAATGTAAAGCTAACGATAGGGATAGACATGAAATCAACATCTTAAACGAATAGTCGATTGTATGAATCCCCTATCGGACATGAGAATCTGTGATGCACTGATAGATAGGGTAGGTATTATCACTATGG